ACATCAACTTCACCACGGCAGTTTGTTGCTCTCCAATACGCGACGGAGGCAAATGCGTTTTCGCTGGCATCCGCGAAAACGTGTAGTTGCAGTTATTCTGGCTGACCTCCACGGAAATAAAATCGAGGAATGGCGTATTCGGTCACTGCCGGCAATTGCTTACGCCACCTTTCCCACAGCTCTGCGAGTTTGTCAGGCAACGGTTCATCCCAGCTCGCCTCATGTCGCCAAACCTCACGCATAAGTAGTTTAGCGCTTATGATGAAATGTTCTAGGAATCCTGGTGGGTCGAATACCGACATCACCACACTAAGAAGCTCCCTCTTTGTAGGGCGTCTGTTACCTTCAACCACGGCTTCACTGACGTTGTGAAATTTTAGGTTAAAGCTGAAGCAGTCTGTGGTTGGCTGCCAGTGTAAGCCGAGCACCTTTTCCGACATTAGGCCTTCCTTATTACCAAGAGTCTTGGTGACGTCGACGCCACCCAGAGCGGCGACCACCTCTGACGAACTGGTTGTGAAGTTGCGGAGCTCGAAACCAGCATCCATGTGAATCGCTCTTACTTGGGTTGCAACAGCGATAGCTTCCTTTGGCGTGTCGAAGCTATCCACTAAATCATCGACATAGTGATAATCTAAAATGGCTTTTATGGCCCGGGCTGTGTAACGATTGTCACCACGATGTTCCAAAGCGTTTCGCGTTTTGATGTAATGTGCAGCACAAGGTGAGCAAGCAGCTCCGAATGTCATCACGGACATTTCGTATACACTTGGTTGTCTCTCAGAGTCACCATCTCTCCACAGGAATCGCTGGGCCTGTCTGTCATCTGGGCGCATCAGCACTTGGTGAAACATCTCTTTGATGTCACCACAAACACCCACTGCCCCTTCACGGAAGTGGAAAAGGATGGATGGCAACGGTCTGTACTCCTGCGGACCCTTAAGCAGATGACGATTCAGCGAAACTCCATTAACATCGGCGGCAGCATCAAAGACAATTCGTAGCTTATTGGGTTTATTCGGGTTCAACACGGCAAAGTGCGGCAGGTACCATGTACGTGGCGTTATCGAGGCGACAGATGACGGTTCAAGTTTACGCGCATAACCCTTTTCGACGTAAGAGGCTACCATGAGCTTGTAGGCGGCGGCGAAGCTCACGTCATGACTCATTCGCTTTTCGACACTCACCAATCTCTTGAGCGCCATATTGTAGCTGTCTGGCAGACGCACATTATCTTCTTTCCATAGAAGTCCGGTTTCGAATCTTGTACCAATGCGGCTGGTTGTCGACTCTAATATAGTCCTGGCACGGACGTCAGCTTCACTTTCAACGCGTGCTGCAGCTCTAACGCCGAAACTTTCAATTTCAAAAAAGTCGGCAACCATTTTGTGTAGTGTCTCGTCCGGACTTCTATTAACTAAAAGGCATGTTGATGGTGTAGGCATATTTTTGCTAGTCGGGCCGAACACTACCCACCCCAGTTCTGTATTGGCAGCGTATGGTCCATTTTTCCTCATCGAAATAGTTGAGGATGCAATACCCAAATGGCAGTTATCGATACCGATAAGTACTCTCGGTACCGCACCAGATTGTGGCTGTACGGGCAATTGACGGACTCGTTTGTCATCGCAAAGTAGGTCAACGGGGCTAAGGCTTTGCGATGGCAATTGAAGATTTTTCACAGCGTACACGTTTTGCATTTTGTGCTTCTTTGTCATACCTGCACCGCTGATATACAAGCCAACCAAGGTTGCTGGCTCCTGTACGGAATGGCCACCGAACCACTGAACGTTGAGATTGTGTTGCTGTCCGCGCAAGTCAAGCTCTTCGGCGAGAGTGTTGTCGATCATGGTGATGGAAGAGCCTTCGTCCAATAGAGCATACGTGTCTATGTGGCGTTGTCTTCCATATACTGTAACTGGAAGTATACGGAATAGTAGCTTACTTACTTTTGAATTGGCGGCGCAGCTTAACACTGCAGCTCCTGTATCGGTAGACTGTCGGCTGTTTACTGGGGGCGCCGACGATAGCTGAGTTGAAATCGGTTGAGTGGTATTCTTCGTCGACGAAGACGAAGGCACTGGCGGTTGTACGGGAGGGGTTTCGTGCAGCAATTTGTTATGGAATCGATTGCATCCACCGGTTCCACAAATCTTTCGTTGTCTGCAGTCACGTGTGGTGTGACCAGCATTCAAGCACGCAAAACATAGACGTCGAGATTTTACTTCAGTCCATCTATTGGCCACTGAAGCTTCGATAAGACGTTTGCAGTCGTACGGCTTATGCTGACCCTGGCATATCGGGCATTTTCGAGGCTGCTGTCTTTCATCAAGATGTAGCAGTACTCGACGTTTTGTGTCGCGACTGGCAAACTGGCTTTCGTCATGTATTGTGCAGATAACATCGGCTAGTGAGGTAAGCCAATTACTAAAATGCACTGTTGTAGCGCGCGGTTGTACGGTGGTGGCATACCGGCCCCACTCGATGCGCTTACTCATAGGCAGCTTCGAGATTAAGTCATCGAGTAACATTGGGTTAGCTAGATGGTGATCGGCGTTGGCTGATTGCAAAAACACACAAATATTTTTCACTTTTGTTGCGAAAGGAATAAGCTTGCTCAAAGCGTTCTCTGGAATCGGAGCGATATCCTTGACCTGCAACAGTTGGCTTCGGATGAGCTGCTCTCGGCGACCAAATCGACACTTTAGTTGCTCAATGATACAGCTAACATTGATGGGGTGAATCAGTAATGACTTCACCATCTCGCGAGCATCACCCTTTAAGCACTTTTGCAACCGTTGGTTGTTATCGAAGTTTGTGTAACCATAAGTTGCCGTGGATTCGGTAAATGCTGTATAAAATACAGGCCACTCTTCAGGTCGTCCGCTAAATTCCGGCAAATCTAGCAACTTTCGCGGCATAAAGGCGGTTTGCGATGAATACGGCATGTGTATTTTAGCGTTGGTAGGCGGCATCGATAAGTTCGGCGAATGTAATGAGTACGTATCATTAACATGAAACGCACTGTATAAATTATTTGCTGTCGAAACTGTACTAAAAATAATTGGCTGGGAGCTGGCACCACAACGGGACTCAGCAAATGGCTGACTTGCGTTAGACTGCGCGTCTAACGGTGGCGCTTGCGCCGACTGCGGCAGTGCTGGCTGCGACTGCGCGACTACGCTGCTGGCGTACGTAACGGCGGAGCTACCGCTTCTGCATAGCTCTGCTCTGAGGGTCTCGTTTTGTAGGTCACGCTCCCTTAGCTGTACTTGCGTGGCT